GGTCTCTCATTGGCTGTAGGTCATCCCCGATGTAGTTTTCAGTCAGAAATCATTGCACACAGCGTGATTGTGAATCGCCGACAGCTCCAGATATTTAGCATGCCAAATATTTCACGGGTGTCGGCGACGAGTCGGCGATTCTCTCAGATCGCGTCTTTGATAATTCACACTGTGTGATTGTCACTCGCGTGAACGAGCACCGATTTGCCTCCGATTTCGGGCATTTGTCAGCGATTTTGCAAAACCTGTCGGCGAGTGAAAAATCGGGCTAAAATCGTGCAGTGTGAACTCGGCATTAGAGCTAAACTCTGCAGGACACCGGCCCTCCAGGACCGAGTTTGGAGAACTTATTAGAAGTCAGTATACCATCAGAATGATTTTGAAACTGACATTTCAAGGTAAAAAAATAAAAATAAAAATAACCTTTATTTTTCAGAGCCTAAAATAAATAGCCTATTTTAAGCAAAAGTGTTTTTTTTGGTACCTTCTTGACAGACTTAAAGACCACAATCAGAGCACACATTCCCAACATTCTCCCTCTGCCCTTGAAGAGTGTCCTGAGGATAGGGGACGGCCAGGTATCTGAGCCCCGGCATTAACCCACATCCAGTTTAGCTTTAATCTGAGACAGAGCAAGATTATTACCTCCCAACAGAGACCTGGAGCGAATAACCTGTCATTCTCAAACTTTTATATATTTTGCTTGCATAATGGAAATAAAAACATCCGGATGCTGTAATTTTTCAAGTTCATCCAAGAAGATCCAATGATTTACAATGATTAATAAACAAAGTAATACTTGAGGTCATGTTAGCAGACATTTGCTCTGCCCTCATAAATGAACATTAATTAGAGTATGTTCAGTGTTAAGAGAGAATTGTAAACATACAGTATGTAGAAAGATTGTGCTCTGCTGTCCTCATGCACATATAACAAATTCACACGAATATTAAAATATGAAATTTAAAAATAAAAAAAGACATAAATCATAGCCTATTTGTTGCTGTTCTCAAGTATTTTGCACTGACTTCTAAAATGCAAAACTGTAATTTGGTCTCAATGAATATACTGTTCTTAATTACTGTTGTTTTGAGTTTAATTCTTGAATATAAAGAAATACACCACACTCATAATATGATTAACTTGAGTCACTCTTGTTTATAACAGTAATCAGAAATGTCTGGGAAAAAAATCATGAAATATATTTAAATCAACCCACAGAAAATATTAATCATGGTAAAATATTAAACTCAAATTTTAAAGTCATATTCATTGCCATTTTGCCATGTTCTCAGTGTTTTGACTTCAAAATTGTAATGAATAATTTTTGTGTGTGTTTATGTGTCAGTAGTCTTTTGTAACGCCCATTTATTTATTTATGTATGTATGTTAATGGTCAAAACAACATAGTAACAAGTAACAAAAAATGAAAAACAAAA